CTAATGGTTTATAATGGACGAAACAGCTGTCCATTACTCTCGAGTTTTCTAATGCTTCTCTAACTGATGTCAACTCAGTGAAGTGGTACAAATCTACTTATCTGAAAACTATAGTTATTAAAAACAAGTAATTAAGGTTAATAAAGCAGGATTTAATGAATTCATCAAATCTCGGTAGAACTCTTCCTCAGTTAAATACTCTACATACACGGATATATACATGCTTCTGAAATTACATTGGGAGATATAAGACTGATAAGTAAACAAACTACATTGAATTAGTCATGCGAGGAAAACGATACTATTAAATTCCTAGACGTTTTTCTAGCAAAAATGAATAATGGCACAATCAAAAGATCTATAGTTAGAAAGTCTTCATGGACAGGACAATACATGCATTTCAAGAGCTTTGTTCCATTACGGTATAAAAAGAACTTAGTTACAACACCGTTCAATAGAGCACGAAAAATTTTTTCCGACAGTACTATTGAGCATGAAATAAAATCTCTGAAGGATATTTTATCTAAGGATGGATATCCTGAGAAGTTCATTAAAAAATAATCTAAAGAAATTAGCCCCTGCAAAACAATTCAAACAGTTCCGAAGAAATCTGTCTATATCAGTTGGTCATTCAAAGGAGATGATGTACAGGAATTAGTCAAACGAAGACTCGATAAAGCCATCAAGAGAACTTATTATGCTGCAAAACTTGCTTATCCTTAGCACCACTAAGCGAGTGCTTCAACAATCTGGGAAAGATCAGTCGCCAATCCTCGACACTTCAAACTGCGTATATCAATTTGAGTGTATTTGTGGAAGCAAATACATAGGTCGTACGTACAGAAAGGCGATTGTCTACTCATCGCATGATGGAGCACTTGCCAAAATGGTTGAAAACAGATGAGTGCAAAGTGCCAAAATCCTCAATAACAAAACATCTTGTGGACTATGGACATGATATCGACGCGGTCAAGTCATTCACTGTTATTGTCAGCAGATAAAGAAATAAGAAGATGCTTGCAATTGCCGAGGAGGCTTGTGCAATTCGAGTTTATAAACCAGGTCTCTGTGTACAAAAGGAGATGGTCGTGACTCTGAATCTACCATGGTAATACGTTTTACTTATTATTCTACCTCATTGTTATTATTATTCTTGATTCATTTAAAACTATCCTTTATCAGTAGGATTATGTTAACTCACTTCAACACTATTATTATTACTGTTATTATAACTATTACTATTGATATTAGTCTGTTTGCAATTCTCGTTATATTCCCTAATGACTAGTTGTTTATCTAAGTGATGTAATTGAAGAAATTTATCTTAATTTTGATCTCTCATACTCTCTCTCCCCTTATCTATTTGAACGTGATCTGGAAAACATTCGCACGTGTAATTCTGCATGACTAATTCAATGTAGTTTGTTTACTTATCAGTCTTATATCTCCCAATGTAACTTCAAAAGTATATATATCCGTGTATGTAGAGTATTCAGCTGACGAATTCTACCGAAATTTGATGAATTCATTAAATCCTGCTTTATTAGCCTTTATTGCTTATAGTTATTAAATTTTTAGACGTCAACAAGTTAACTAATTGTCATTAAAGATAAATTGAAGAATAACAACTTCATTTGATGGAAATGACATCGGATCTTATGTCTTCACCAATGATTGATTACCTGTTACCCTGATATACAGAGTTAGGCATTAAAATGAAATTTTGAAAATACCTTACAAATAGAATTAGACAATATTGTTTCTAAAAATGCATTTGATGCACGGGATGCAGAACTCCCCACCACCGACCAGAACAAGCTGCTGCATTGAGGAAAGGCAAATCATTTGCTGACCAAATTGCAACCCTACGTATCATCAGGGAGCAAAGTACAGAATGACAGTCAAATCTCTCTCCCTCTACCTCAATTTCATCGATTTAAAAAAATATCTTCTACAGTTTTCATCGTGGAGTAATTTGGAAACTACTGCAACACTATGGAGTGCACTGTCCCAAATCTTTATCAATCATACGATAGTGACACGTGTCAGGTGATCCAAAACGGAAAACTCAGCGAGGCGTTTGAAGTGAATACAGGAAGTAAGACAAGACTGCCTACTATCACCGATGATATTCTTAGCTGTAGTCGACTGAATTAGGTGGCAAATCGTGCTTGGAAAACGAAAAGACAGGAATACTCTGGATCGCCGATGGGAAAACTCCAGAAGATCTGGATTTCGCGTGTGGGTGATTTATGTTGAATGTTACACAAACTCGAAGACTTGCAAGGGAAAACCAACAAGCTGGCAGATGAAGCAGCCACTGGAGACGGGACTCTAAGTAAACATGGAGAAGACGGAAGGGATGAAGACACCTTGTCACCACCATCCACCACCACCAACAACAACAACAACAACAAGCATTAATCATTATCAACGGAATATATTTGAAGGAGGTCACTTCCTTCAATTATTCAGGAAGCATTTTTTTAAACTGATTAAAAATGCCCATTAAAATTGTTTCCAAAAGGCTGGCTACTGAACAAAGAGTACCTCTTTTCGATAACCCCTTCTTCATCAGGCTCTACAGTTATATATCCATCCATAATGGTGAATGAATGAATGAATGAATTAGTGTTATGAACAACATTAATGTTGCTGTTTAAATGACATCGAATCAATCATTTTGATAGATTACAGCTCAATAGCATCAACATAACAATAAACGGAATGTCAGAAAAATTAAGAAAGATAATATTACAAATTCATGAATTTCCAGTCTCTACTGAAGGCCAACCAAAGCAGCAGTAGTAGTGGCTGAAATTGCTTCTTTTGAATACAGAGCACTGGTTGTTTGAGGTGAATTGCAATAGCCTCTGCTGTTTGGAGAATGTGGTGCTTCGATGTTTTCGACAATTTATTAGGCACCCGGTAGATGATAGAGAAGGATTCTTCCATGCTGGCTGGCTTTGTGGCCGTTTTGCATCAGATGGTCCAATATCGAACTGTTGATGATGATTTTCACTTAGCCATACTGGGAGATGTTCCTGAGAGAGCACGAAAAATCAAGTTCCTAGAGCAGCGGCCAATATAACTCGCCCCACAAGCGCAGCTGAATTGGTAGATAGAATTTGAAGTGGCTAGCTAGTCTAGGTACTTCATCTTTCATTCGAGGTAGCACCATCAGTCGTGTAGAGAATAATACGTGTAGTTCGCCAGCATTAAAAGTTCCTTGAACTGATTTTCTTAATTTCCTCGTAATTATCTCACTTGGTATACCGCCATTGAATTGTAGTCGTATCTAAAGTGGCTTCTTGTTTTTTTAATTACAGGCGACGGCAAGAATGAGGATGTCAAAAACAGAATAGGAAAGGCAAGGTACTACACCTTCATCACTCTGAAATCAGTTTGAAAATCTTCTGCACACTGCACTCAGCACAAAGAACGAAATTCGGATTTTCAACGCCAATGTTGAGTCAGTCATTTCTTCTGTATAGGTGAGAAACTTGGTGCTCGCATTATGAAAAGCATTCCCAACAGGCTATAATAGCAGACTTTCATTAACAGCTGCCACCTTCGCTGGCTCCATAATGAAGATCAAATGGCAAGCTAGGAAAACTTAACAACAAGAAATTATGGGAATAAACTAACCAAGGACCAATTGCTCAAAAAATAGGCAAACGAAAGTGAAAATTGATTGGGCATACGCTGAGAAGACCGTCAAAATGACATCTCTCGCCAGACTAACTCTCGAGTGGAGTTCCAATAAGAAACGACAAGTGAGGCGTCCGACAGTTACATGGAGGAGATGAGAGATTATGGGTAATCGTGGAGCCAGCTTAAGATGTCTGTCTCTCTGTTTTCGACATAGAACTTTGCACCGGTCTGCAGCAGTTCGATTCACCACACTCCATATAGCACACAAAGCAAGAGAAGTAGAAGAAATGCGTAATAGAGATAGAGGTGTGGGACAAAAGAATAGTAATAACGATGAATAATATAGTTTCATTGGGAATCATAAATCACAGGGAGTAGATGCATCTTCACCAGCCATTGAGAACGATTTTGGGCCGTATCAACTATCGTCTGCAGCCTTCGTTGGCTTTTAGCGTCCTGACCACCCCAACCCGGAATTCTACACCTTCCTATATGGCTGGCTTAAACTAACTGTTTTGGATTTGATTGACTGATGAAGCGATGTTTTGGTGTAACCACCGCTAGCTCTTTTCTAGCCTGACCCTATGTCAGCTACCATTGCCTATCAGTCAAGGAAGGCGATGACTAGAGATGCATGCGTAACACATGTCCTAACCATCTCAGTCGATGTAATTTCACAGCCTCGTCGATTGATTTCCCCTTCCTCTTTACTTGACATCCGACCACCGACTAACCTCACTACTGCTCACCTTATTATACCCCTTCACACGGGAGATGGAACGCAGGCACCAATGATCAAAGACAGCTAGTCAGCCAGGCTTTTCATGTCTTCCAATCTCAATGACCAGGTCTTGCTCACAGTCATAAAGGAGGACGGAGCGGACTAATGAGCAGTACACACGCCCTTTGGTCGATAACCAGCCGGATATCACGTTTACTAACCCAGAGACGTCGTAAACTGGCATATGCGAAACTAGCCCCCTGTATCTGTGCTGAAATTTCGTCAGAGATCAACCCGTCAACGTTGGCTGATGGTACTTCTCAATTAGGTGAAATGGTCAACGTGCTCTACCACTTCACTCCTTATTTCTAAAACTGGGAGTCAGTGTAGTCCAGTCCTGTAACATCATCTTGCATTTCACGGCGGGAGCGAATCGCATATCAAACAATCATAGATTGCAGCTCAAGGTGTTCAGAAGATATCTGTAGAGAACAGGACAAAGTGGAGACGTGCTGCTGTAGCCTGTGTTCTACTCGGAATCCAAGGGAACAACAATAATAATAATATAATAAACAATACATTTGAAGTGATAAAATCGAATAACACAATATAATAGATAACTAACCGAAGAGTCTAATAGTGAGAGCTCTCAGTCCAATGGGATTTTTCACCAAGAATCCAGCAAGTAATTTAGGATATTGTACCTTTGCAATATCACGCACTAAGTGTGAAGGATGTTCTAAGTTTAAGACATGAAGATCTCTGTTCAACGAATGCCCCACAAGAATACGATTCTAAATAAAAGGAACATATGTATTGACTTTAATTTCAGGTAAAAATTGTTTAGTTTAAGATGTTGAAACACAGAAGACTTAAAGTCCATTTGACACAAAAACCCAAGAAAAAACAAGTACATGAGGTCAAATAGAAAGCATTATTATTATTCAAACGCAGAAAAAGTTGGTACAATATGATACCAAGAAACATGCACCACACAATAATAATAAAACAACATAGATCAAAAGTAAAAAATATAAGTAGAGAACGGATAAAGAACTTCATCTGGAAGAAAAAAAGTCATGCTTAACAAGTTCAAACAGTATTCATCAACTATCATCGAGAAGGGAAGAAAGAAGGAAATTGCAACACGTTCGCCACTGATTACGATTCTTGGCCATATCCGAGAACGTTTCGAGCTATCTCTTGGACCCCAATCAGGGAGTCTTGACGCACGATGCTAATCTAGCACAAAAATCCTTCATCCCACGACGCCACGTCATGGACTGACCACCCATCCGCTTTTCCATCCTGTCCCAAGGCTAGCGAACAGAGACCTGTACGGAAGCCTCCTCTGGGATGACATTCTCAGCACATGTCCAAGCCACCAGAGCCAGTGTTTCCAGATGACGACACTCAGTGAATGGTGATCTCCACTGCGTTCAAACACACGCCGCTGAACCTCAGAATTACTCACGCGATGATGTCATCGAACGCAAGCAATCCTGCGGAGACAGCGATGATCGAACACGCAGAGTCGCCGCACATCCAAAGCTTGGAGAGGGCAGGTTTCACAAGCGTAGAGCAACTACACGCTTACAACAGCACATTTTGAAATAACGAAAAAAACAAGAAGAAGAAGGTACTTACTTGTATGATACTCTGAACATGTTCTCGAGCACAAGAATATTCAATAGCACGAGACATATCTTCTTGTCTAATTCCACTCCATGGTGTTCGATAATCAGTTATCTCTTCTTCAGGATGTACTATAGCATCATACAAAAGTTGTCCTTCATAATCAACAATACTGACACGTCCTAAAGCATCAACCTTTTTAATACCAACACCGACCATTTCACAATCTAAAGCAACAGGGCCTAAGTTAGTAGAAACACTCGGTTCATCAGATGGAGTATTAGAAGAAGTATTTATAGCTATAAAAAAAGGATGAGTTGAGAAACAAAATATACTGCTTACAAGTTGTGATATTTTCGGAATGGGCACAAGGGCGACATTTAATCTGAAGTGGACATTTAAATTTCAATCTCGGATGTTTCTTGCTATATGTAATTTTTTAGAAAAGAAAAAAGGAAGAAACAGAAGGCGACAATTAACACTAACGAATTTATGCAAGAAGTAGTTTAGAAGACATTTCAAAAACCTGTTGGATTAATCAGGATATACATACCTTAACTGCTCTATATGATATGTAAAGCGGTCTGTCTGTCTGTTTTCGACACAGAACTTTGCACCTATATGCACCAGTTCAAGTCGTCACACTCCCTCCATGTAGCACACAAAGCAAGAGAAGAAAGCAAAAAGAAATGCATAATAGAGACAATAAACAGAGGTGTGAGGCGAAGGAATAGTAATAACGAAGAACAAAACAGTTTTATTGGAAATCATAAGTCACAAGGAGTGGATGCATCTCCGCCAGCCACTGAGAACGAGGATTTTGAGCCATATCACCAATTGTTTCCAACTATTGGTTTTCACCGTCCCGAGGACCCCAACCAGGAAATCTACACTTCTCTACGTGGCTGGCTGGCTTAAACTAACTTGTGGATTTCACTGACTGGTTCCATGTTTTGGTTTGACCGCCGCTAGCTCTTTTTCAGTTTGACCCGATGTCAGCTAAGATTGCACTTCGAGGAAGGTGATGACTAGGCATGCATTAGTAACACGTGACCTAACCATCTCAGCCGATGTAACTGCTTCACAATCTCGTCGATTGATTTCCCCTCCTTACCAATCACTCAACCGACGCCTAACCTCACTATTGCTCACCTTATTATACCACATCACACGGAAGATAGAACACAGGCACCAATGATCTAAGATAGCTAATTTTTTCATGTCTTCCAATCTCAATGACCATGTCTTGCTCAGTCATAAAGGAAGATGGAGCAGACTGCTGAGCAGTACACCTGCCCTTTGGTCGATACTTTTACTTTACTTCGGCTATCTCCTACGGGAGGATGAGCCGGCTTCATGAACCATGAAGTTTCATGGGAATTGGGTACGAGTGATGTCCCCAGCATCGCTCGGCCTTTTGTTTGAGAGTGCAGCTCTAGCCTTTACACAACCAAGTGTGACCTACAAGGCAGTAGGAGTGGAGTAGGGAGTTCACTATCCATTGGCAGCTGGTGACCGGAGTCCGGTTCATTCGCCTTTTTGAATGGGGCCAGTCATCCAGGACATCCAATAAGCCCTTTGTCCATACGTCTGCCGGTGAGCTTCATACGCCAGTCGTTGGAGGTTTGGAATCAGGGTTTAGCCATCTCCCCTAGACTGTCATCCACCTTTGGTCGATAGCCAGCCGGATATCACGTCTACGCCAGAGACGAAACTAGCCCTCTGTATCCGTGTGGAGATTTCGTCAGGGATCAACCTGTTACCACTGGCTGATGGTACTTCCCAAATAAGTGAAGCGGTCAATGTACTCTACCACTTCATTCACTATTTCTAAACTAGGAGTCAGTGTAGTTCGGTCTTGCAACGTCATCATCTTAGATTTGGCAGGAGCGAATCACATGCCAAATATTCGTAGATTGCAGCTCAAGGTGTTCACAAGACTCTGCACTTTGTCAGCGTCATAGCCTAGAATGACTATATCGAATTGCACAAGTTCAAGTTACCAAACTCCATAAAGCACACAAAAAAGGTAGACAAAGGAGAGAAAGAGAAGGTTCAAAAGAACCATAATAAGCAGCAATGTATGGAGGGAAGAATATTAACGCGGAACATCCATAATAGTTTAGTGAATATGGGAGATCATAAGGCGCGAATGCATCTGTGTCCATGGCAACGATTTTAAGTCACTCCACCAGTGTCTCAAGGACCCGAACCAGGCAGCCTACACCAATTGTCAAAGACTTCATGGACTGGTTCTGGGTTCTGAATCGATCAATTTTAACTGTTTTGCAGGCCGACCACATGCTAGCTAACATTTCTCGACATGAAAGGCGGTGGTTAGGTATACGGCTATTTCTCGTTTCCAGACATTGCATTTAACCTTAGTTAACCCAGACAACGGTTCTTCACCACCATCTTTGAACGATTCTGGTGCCATTCCACCATGCCCTTCTGTTTCAGATTAGAGACAGTCTTTGCAACCTCAGTTACAGATAGAAAACCAATGTCTAAATCCCATTCAGGTAGGCGTTGGATGCTGGCTAATTTGGGAGTGGGCGTAACAGTAAACCAGTTAAATTGCTCTTCATAATGTTCCCTCCAACGTTCCAGTCATTCATCCTCATAGTTAACCGAGGCTTCACTTTCCTCAGAGATTGTCTCAGCTAGCATTTGCCTTTTGCAACCCATATCTCTAATGAGCCTACATAGTTGTCTCGTGTTACCTGTCAGTGATGTCTTTTCCATCTCTTTCCTATCTGTCACCTTTAACGCCTTAAAATAAATAAAACTTTGAAAAATGTAAATACTGAAATGACTGAATTCTTTTCTTTCACTAAATAAACAAATTTGCTGAGTTTCCTTGATGATAAAACTTTTGGAAAACCTGACAAATGAAACCATAGCATGTCATTTAATAATCTATGGTAATACGAATGTGTCAGAGATATTTCCAATAGGCTGCTGTCTCCCGTTCATCAATACCTGTTTTCGCTCGGTGGCGGAAATAATACAGCCAAACAGAAAGGATAAGCAACCCTGGCAGGCAGCTAACCAGGTAAAAAATGTATCCCTTAAAAAATATGCAGAGAGCGAAACGGAGACGCATTGAACACAAGATGAAGAGACCTTTAAGCAGCATCAAATACCTGAAAGATCCTCTAAAGGGAACTGAGTGGGAAGGTTGCAGGTGGCTGTGGAGCCAGTTTCAAGTTACGACAGAAAACCGAGTAGCATAAAGACGGATGGCCGAAGTCGTGTTTTTCACAGAATGCAGGTAATAATGATGATGCGAAAGTGACATTAAGTTATAAGAGATTAAAATATTGCCAATTCATCAATTTATTTTTAGAGTATGGTGACTTTTGTCTCGTTAAGTAGCTGCATACTAATTTGTCTATCTTTTCCAAACGTCTACGTAGAAGCCAACTTACAACACTCAATTTTCAAAGGTGACCAAGGAGAAGAGGTCATTCAAGAACATGAAGATGTGTGACCTTAAAATTCGCAAGAAAATATTGTTTTCATTGTAGTTCTCAGGAATTATTAACAGTTTCTACCTGCAAAGCAGTGCAGATAGACAGACCAGACCTGTGGTCCGAGTGGACTCTGTCATGGCGTCCATGCAACGATGGTTGCAGAACAGGTGTGACGGACTGAAGACAGGAATAATGAATCGGTGACATTCCCCATTGGTGTGTTTTCATTTTTCATTTCACTCATTATCAGGTCACCGTCGATCAAAATATACAGTATGCAGAAAGTAAAAAACTGAATACTTCTGATGATTCAAGTGATTTTTGACTTCTACGCTGTGTCTATACATTCTAAATACATATTGGATTAAGAGTAAATATACGTTTATTATGTTCATCTGCGGTCTGATATCAATAGTCTTTGAGTTAGTACAAGTATGCCGTTTACTGCGACAAGCTGTGGATATAATAGGTATGTAATTGGCCTGAATAGAGATATATATTGTCCACTGCATAACCGCTGGTGAGTAGTTGAAGCTTAGGGTTAGTTACAGAAACATCTTAAGACTTCAGCCACACTGCAGAAACTTTGGGGAAGACTGCAGATAACTGTTCCACGTTCTTCAATGCGTCCGAAGTCTTTTGCCCCAGAAGCTCTTCAGTGAGCCCAAAGAAAATGCTAGTTGTATATATATATATATATATATATATATATATATATATATATATGTACATGTATAGTCACGCGTGAGTGTATACGCGAAATTCTCCCACGTCTTAGTTTCAAATCATATGAAAATTTTGACAGAAGTGATACTTATTCCGGTGACTCTAAATTATAGCAGCCCAAAACGAAACTATCTAATGAACGATTTGATGACCTTGACAAATATATTCATATATTCACCGTAGTTCTTACAAGAATTACACGTATACATGTAACCTCTAATTAGTTTAGTGATTACACACTACGAACCTATGGAATTATGCGCAGATCTTATCTGACTTGCCAAAGAAACGCCAATAAACTTCTACATATGGTTCAATATATCTGAAATATCACTGACCTTGACATCACTCGTTCGTCAAGGTTGAACTCTCCAAAAGTTTAAATTAAGCGGCGTGATGCAGCCAAAAATCTTTTCGCGCACAAGGTATGCTACGAATAATAATCCAAACATTCTACCATCTAATCTGTCAATAACACACAATTTAGCTAATTTTGTAACTTTTGTAGACCGAAAAATCAATTTTTAGTTCACGTTTTCACATCAAGAATTCCGTTTTTCTATTGAATAGTCGCTAACTTTCTTCTGAGTATATGGACATGCCCTGTTCATTCTTCGGTGGGCCAGGCAAGTGGAAGCACCATTTCTAGGAGATGGTAGAAGGTTTAGCGACTGTTTCACAGTGTTGTTGTTCCTTCTTGATCTTTGGAGTCTCTTGCTCTGTCCACTGAGCAGAAAAGATTTTTCCTGGTGTCTTGTGGAGTACGTAACAATATGATTAGTTAGATGTTGTTAGTTGTAGCGATTAGAGACATAGTACATGACTTTTTTAAGCGATTCATGTTTAAAGATATATAGACTGTATACTTTGGATTTATTGGTGGAGTCTATTGTCCTCATCCAATGAGAACTCTTCGACCGGTCCACAGTATCTACCAGCAGACGCAATTCCAACAGTGAACGTTCCCATGGATTATATTAATAATTTCTAGCAGCGAACTTTAACATTATATCCAAGTGACCTTTCTATTAATATAACGCATTACTGCATTTTTTGATGATATATTGTTACTCTATCATCTCACTGACTTTGATTTTCATTCGCATATTTGTAATGCCAATGAGCTTTCTTGACATTCCCCTACAGTTTCACTCCTTGTATAATGGTTTGGTCACACCAAGAACCATATGTGTTTCACTACTTTGAATCACCTCCAGTTTATATGAATCCACCTCTGAAGCAGTGACCATTGGCAGGGATGCAGTTAACTGATTCAGCAGATACGACAGGATCCCCGAAAACCATAATGTGCATCGGACAAGTCATCATTTGCCAGATGAGCTGGGTTTCTCCTTTCCAACATTTTAATTTGCCTGAAATTATTCCGCATGCACAAATTCATCGGAAGAGTTAGATACCTGGGGCGATTATATGGCATATCTCTTATTTGAAGTGGCGCCTCTAGCTTTACCTTGAGGGCAATTGTGGCTTAGTTGATTCGAGCTGTGGCTAGTCGTCCAGGCAAACTCAGCTGACGTGATTTTTGTGCTTATTCTGCTCTTGTTGAATGAATTTGTATGAAAATTGTTTTTCGATATTGTTCTTGAGCATTCAAGTATTGCTTGTGTGGCGGGACGCTCAAATATACCGTTCATGCAATGAATATTTGGCATACCGAGTATAGTCCGCGTACATTTCAACGACTATCTTTCGATCAATTTCTTTGCAGCTTAGCGACAAACTTTACTTGATCGTAAATTTCTCTGTCAGCTGTTGTGTAGTACCTATTTCCATTGCAGAAACCGAAGAATATGTTTGATATCGAATTCATGCGTGCCCCAGCTAGCATTTTTGAGGGCACTGCAGAACCACATGGGCAAAACCTTCAGACGCTTCCGAATTTCGTTTGGCTTTTTGATAGCTGAAAGTCAATGGAATGCATAGACACGAGCGACGATACGTGTTCACAACTGGGCAGAAACAGCAATATGTTTTACGATCACTTACAACATATACCGTTTTCTGCGAACATTTTTAACTGAGTTTAAACGCACACTACAACATTTTAGTACTTTGGTGGACTTGAATACCATCCTCGTGATCAGGCGCGTAAGGACATCTGAGGTGTACGTCATTTTGTCCTATTAGTGAGCTTGGTTTCATAAACTTCCGATTTTTGTTATTGTCCTGACGTCACATTATTAGCGTTTCTTCAAAGTAAACTCGCAGAATAATGCTAGAATCGTGTAGAAGTTGTGTCCAACATCTATTAAAGCTATGGACGTAAGGTTTAGAGGAGGTTGCTTTTTCCACTTGAACAGGACTCATCGATGTCTGCAAGTAAGGGCTTCGCATCTTATTCCTAAAAGCCACCAGAAGCAAACCGAACCTTGGAAGCCATTAATGGTGATAACAGAAGCCATATTATCAAACAATAAAGAGACAGGACATAAAATTGACGTTCACATACACGTTTAACCTGTCTATAAACGAATATCCTAAAGTTTAGAAGCCCAACTGTTATTTGGAAGTCTCATCCGTCTTTGCGTGTTCCAAAACAATTTGCCATCACACAAAAGCTTCGTCAGTCACGTCTCATAAACCGTTAATGCCTAGTTCTTGCCACACTCGGGCTCACGCTGTCGCTTGAAGTTTCTCAGAAACGCTTAGTAATAACGGACGAAAAAACCAAAACACCAATTGTTGACTCGAGGATTCTTTATTGTAACACCAGCATATAAAAAATATTTCTATTAAGGTCTGTGAACAAATATTACAATAATAAATCACAAGAATACTTCTGATGGTTGTCTCCTGACTTCTTTCTGAACAGCGACCGATGAGACGATGACTGTCGTATTGATGCCTCCGCGAAAATTGGGGAAGTTGGTTTTGAGCAAACAACCAAGAATTGATCGTTCAATCTTCAACTACATTGACACTCCCCGGCAAAAAAGGGATCCATCCCTTCTTTCCATCACGACCAATACATGTTGACTTGGATGCCATTGCGAGAACCTGGGTCACACGGACAGAGCTGAAATGGAAAACAAACAGAAAAGCCAACACACCACAAGCATACTCACAGCACAATCTCACACATCAATGACGACCTGTGCCTTCCAGTTAAAGGCATCATCTTGACACATCCTCTTGCAAAACAATCGCCACCTGCTAGAATGACTCTTGCAGAATGCAACGTGACCATAGCACCAACTCATGATACTCCACGCTCATCCTCTTATCTACTCACTACCAATTACCACTGCAATCACTTGTCACTCATTCTGCCTCAGTTCTAGTAACGATGACGTATGCGAGCCCCAGTCGTTTACACTCTTTCTCCCCGGCGTGTGGGACCAAAGCTAATAATTATCTCCGTGTGCATTTCATTCTCAGCAATAGCCTCCCTGGCGTATATGCCCCATCTGCTGTCCTTAACATCAATCAATTCATTCACGGATGTAGAAGAGTCGAAACAACTTCAGAAGTAATCACGACGAAAATTTTAACAAAATTACGTAATAACAACAAGGTACGAAAACAACGAGTAAACACAATGAATCCAAAAACACCAATTGATATGACACATCACACGTATATACAAATAGTACAAACAACCTCGCCGATCATGTCTTGGTGGAATTCCTTTGAAGAATCGCAGGACTTACACCAGTACGCCTACAACCCTTCTCACGTTGACGATTGTAAGCTGTGGAATATCCGGACACAAACAAGATTAACCAACAATTACATCAATTGAAACTCACACAACTATTTAACACAAACATATGTACAATCACTACATCAAATGTTGTGGATTTTGGCACGACAAACTACCCTTGAAGAACTGTAGGACTTACAGCAGTACGCCTACATTCCTTCTCAGGTTGATGATCCAAGTGGAAGTCGTCCGGACACAAACAGAATTACCAACAGCTAGATGATAAATGATACCAATTCAGTATATACAATATGAACTTATGTACAAAATCACACACCAAGCACATTGGACTGCTCATTGATGCGCTACCCTTTGAAGAATTGTAGGACTTACAGCAGTACGCCTACAGCCCTTCTCAGGTTGACGCTCTAGGTTGGAAAATCGTTGCAGAGTTCATTTGCTAACTTCCTTCTATCAGCTATATCCTCAAATCTGAACGGCTACACGCTCATGTCATTGAATCGTAGAACATAGATGACGAACAAACACACGACATATCTCATCAACCAAGTGTAAAAACAGAGTAATTTACACCAAAGATAATAGCATTCAAATAGTAACTTGAAACTAGAAATGCCTTTATTCGTGCAAGTCAATTTAACAATTACTCTCTCGTTTACACTTGGCTTATCCTCACTAAACTGACCATTGATATTCGTCCTTTCAAACGAACTAATACTAGCATAGTCATTGCACAAGATACTTGAGTTGATGGGCGACTGTTTCATTGTGGATGACAGCACCAACGATGACCGATTGATACCAGTTGATGAAGTTGGCGGTGGATAAGAAGCTGTTGTTGCTCGGCTTTCAGAAGTTTGTCTACCTGCAAGACCACCACCACTGCTGTCTATTACTATCAGCTCAGGTTTAGCAATAGCATCTGATGATAGGTGGGCTACATGCTGATCAATCACACCGACGGTATCACAAGTATGCATGCCTTCTGCAACTGCATCTGCATTTATTTCTACTTCACGCTGTAGTTGTACAGAATCTTTATTTAACTTAGCGGTAGTAGGCATTCCCTCCATTTCATCATGATCAACCAAAGACAAATCTGCACTATCATGATCATTATCACAAATATTCAATTTACCGTCATCTATCTGGTTGACTTCATCAATTTCAAACTCTTTAATAGCAGAAGTAGACAATTTTGGTTCCTCCTCACAAATCCTAAAAGGCTTTATAACTTCACTCTGACTAGTAATACCTTGTAAACTTGTAGGGTCAGAACTGGACTCTGAAGCAGCAACTCTATTCTGTGACACTCTATTCAACAATGGCTTACCAGTTGCAACTACAGACTTCTTCAACGCACCGTTATCGTCACACAATTCGGAGTCAGACCTGGAGTTTACATTTAGCTTATCACTGAACTTGCTCACTGGTTCACAGTTCACTTCTGTATGCACTTCTTGCACACGTGTAAAACACAACCGTGCTTGTCTTGCATCTTGTAACTTATCTGTTGAGGATGTACTACAAAACCTGTTACACTCACTAGGTCTATATGCATTACTAGGCATCATGGAGCCTTCTCGATATCCACCTCTCTGAGGCCTACTCGTCATCAATGATTGCATTTTGCTCTCAGACTGCTCTATTCTAGGGGTGAGATGTAATAGACTGGCGAACTTGCTCATAGATTGATT